GCGTCGAGCACGAAGTCTTCAGAGGTTCTGCAGGCGTATTTCACGGCACCCGAAGTTTGTTTCGGATTGTGATTTCCGTGACTTCCTGACAGTGAGCGCATCACTGCCCCGGGCAAATTCCACGGCGGCACTAAGTGGTGCTGGAGTGAAAAGAATGCTGAAAACCGTTAACGACGTATTTTCGAAGATGGCATTTCACATGGATGAGAATGATCGCTGGTTCGAAGCAGCTCAGCAACAGGCTGGTTCTTGTCGGTAACTTCACTGCAGCGGAAATCCTCCTTTTCTGTGACGCTTTACACTCACTCATTTGCCGTTGTAAAAGCTGTGCATACTAATATCAAGACTGCCCGGGCAGATTGTTTGGCTGATAGTGGTATTGCTGGGATGCTGTTTTACGTTGGGCGCTCTGGGCTGTTTTTGCGCACTGAACATTCTTTAAGATGCCGCATTTATAGAGTTGTTCGATCTTCACCATCCTCGTCCAGTCGATTTTCCTGACTTGTTGTCACTCTTCGTTTTCTTGCGATTTTTGCATCTGTGCAACGCTCAAATGCATGTTATCGAGGAGTTGTCTGTGTGTGTGTGTGTTTGTGTTTATCTATACCGATTTTTCATCTCGAGGTTTACAAAACTACAAGCTGAAATTTTGGAAACTTGATCTACATACATGTACGGGCTCTCATTTTCAAAATGGGTGCTCCTACCCACGTGGTTCCTGTGTGCGGGCCTTTGAAAGATTTTTGCGGATAAGTTGCTAACTCGGAAACCAGAAAAGCTAGAAAGCTGAAATTTTAAAGAAGATGCTCCTCGTCCACGAGTTCTAGCCCAACCAACAGGAATGGATGGTCCCCACATGCGAGCCGGTAAAGTTTTTGGCGGTAATTTGCTAATTTGGGAACCAGAAAAACCAGAAAGCTGAAATTTTAAGGGGATGTTTTCTCACAGTCATGGTAGCCAGTCTCAACTCTTTTAGCTAGACGCATCTGCAAGAAAATACAGTGCCGTAGCGAAAAAACCCTGCGGAGAGCTGTGCAAAAAACATATCTTCGCGACGGAAGTCGGTGCGTTGGCCAGTTATTTTATCCTTGTTCAAGTTTTATAAGTGATGTTAACAGTTATGATAGTGGGTTGGACATGGAACTGTTCCAATCCGTTTTTGTTGCTGGGTGTGACGGAGACATAAATTTAGCGCTCTTCTACAATAACTGTACCACCCAACATGCCCGCATGCGTTGCTTTGTTAGCGTTCCGTTCATATAGCTACTTCTTCCTCTCCATACTTTTCCACTTTATATTGTAACTTTATAATCTTTTCCAATTGCTCAAAAATTTGATAAAAAAATCTCTCTTCTATCTCTCTCTTCATGCCTTCCATTCCTTTCTTTTTCCTCTCATATCTGAACACCACGACCGTCATATTGACGAGGTCCATTCGCGGTGTTGAGCTAAGACGTATATGATTTAATGGACCGAAACGTCTTAACTCTTACTT